TTGCATTGAGGGAGTACTTGAGTGGGGGCCCAATGTCCATTTGCTACCTTAATACTAGACCTATAAACAGATGCACATAGATTTATTTCCCCATCCTTATATATAAATATATTTCCATATGTACATGCCTTTATTTAGACCTCTATAAATGTTGTTTGCCTCCTAGCTCTTTCCTCTATTTCCTTTTACTTTCCTCTTGTCCCACTATCATGCTCTGCCTTCATTTGGGTTACAGTAATTCCTCTCGGTTACATTACCCTTGATCACACCCTACCAAGCCTCCTACACCCTCCTCACCACCAATTTGTATCACTTGTTGTTCCTTGTCCCTGGGTTTGTTAACACCACTTCCTTTCCCCCTACCTCCCCCTCTCCCATGTCCCCCTTGAACTGTCAGTCCCATTGTTTTCTCCTCCAGATTGTTTATCCAGCCTAACTTATTTAGACCAACCTGCAGAGATAGTAACATGCACAAAAACAAGACAGCAAAACCAAGCAACAATATATAACAAAACAACAATAAACCAATGACAAAAAAACAAAGCACAACAAGAAAGGAAAGCTTATCGTTAGTTCAAGGACTGTTTGTTGGCCTTTAGGAGTGTTTTCTGGTTGAGTCTGATGGGGGGCCAAGCCCTGGCCCCAAAGTCTATTTTTGGTATTCCCTGGGGACTTCATTGCTTTGTTCCCCTTGCTGTTCTGTTGCACGGCCTTAGTGTTTTGCCTCGGTGTGGTGGGAGCAGATCGGGCAGAATTCCCACACGGTGTCTCCAGTGTTGTCCCCTTGTAGGGCTATGGATCAGTGAGGGATAGTGGGGCCGGCCATATGTTCTTCTCTGTGGATTGGCTGCTCTGAGGGAATATCGTCCTTAAGGCTTGGTGGGCCAGGATGTGCTCCACTCTCTCTTCCTCCCCCTTCATTTGCTCCCGTGTGCTTTGATCAGACGTGTCTCTGTCCCTGAGCTGCAGATTCAGTGCTGTCCTCTGAAAAATTCTTCTGGGGGCAAGGATATTTTTGTGTGTGTTAAGGTTCTAAATTGGCAGTTGCAGACTAGGACTTCCATTTGTTAAACATAATTAAAAGATAGTCATCTTCATTGTGTTCTTAGGTGCCATCAAGTTAGCTCTAACTCAAAGCAATCCACGTATAATAGAAGGAAACCCTGCTCAGTCATAGGTCATCCTCACAGTTGTTACACTTTCTTCCCATTATATACCTGAATAGTATTCCAATATCAGTTTTGTTGTTACAGATTATTTACATCCTCAATTCCTTTAAAGCAGCAGTTCTCAACATGTGGGTCACGACGCCTTTAGGGGTTGAACGACCCTTTCACAGGGGTCACCTGATTCATAACAGTAGAGTTACGAAGTAGCAACGAAAATAATTTTATGGTTGGGGGTCACCACAACATGAACTGTATTAAAGGGTCGCAGCATGAGGAAGGTTGAGAAGAGACGGTTAAGCCATCGGTAGCCTATTGGACAGCCCCTGTCAGAACAGTGGGTGAAATGAGACAGCAGTAAGTGTAAGACCAAAAAAAAAAAAAAAAGTGTAAGACCAATGTCTGTTGTCAGTCTTTTTCTTTTTCTTTTTTTTTTGGTCCCAGGATGAAGATGGCTTCTATTTCCTCTCTGGGGGAGGGAGGGGTGGTGATGCTTTCCCAGGGCACACCAACCTAAAGAAGGAGCATGCTCAGAGGACGGGCTGGAAGAGCAGGACCAGCATCAGAAGGGCTCCTCCTTGTCCACTTCCAGCCCCTCGGCTGCAGGGATGTGCCTGAGGGTCACTCCCCTTGGCGTGACAACTCCTGCATTCACAGAGGCACATGGAAGCATCTGCTGGTGCTGGGGGTGGGGTGGGGGTGGGGGGGAAAGGCCAGTTAGCCGACCCCACACACCCAATGCCAGCCAGGTGGTAACGGTTCACTAGACCTGGCTGGTGTGATTCTTCTCCCAACAGGGACTCTCACGAAGGGCCTGAGGCAGTGCTCACTCCAGTGGTTGGTCCTTTAAATGTCCATCTCAAACTGGGACTCTTCACCACCCGCCGGCTGGTTGTTTTCTGGACTGTTGCGTGGGAGGCTCCGCCTGGCTTCCATGGGGGGCTTCTCACTGGCAGGGCTGGTGATGCCAGGAATAGTGGGCAGGTCCCGGGGAGGTGTTTTGGCCACAGGTGAATTCCGACACTCCATCAGGAATTTCCGGTCATAGATGATCCTGGTACCTCCCGGGGTGGTGCTGAATAGTGTGCCACCAGGGGGTGGTGCTGTAGTCCCCGGGTGGCAGCTGCACACCCTCACCAGAACCACCCGGCGAGTGGCAAGGATGGCCTGGCTCGGGGTCTGGCTGCAGCTGCTGCCTCTGCACATGGTCTCCCCTTGTCAGTCTTTTTCAATGTGTAAATCATGAGACCTTGTTCTTTAGCTGTTCATAGACTGCTTGATGTAAACACATGCCTTTGACATTTGAAGGGGAGCACATACTGAGGAGATGGCAGAAGGGGGCAACAGTTTTACGTTATGCAGAATAGCGTGGCAAAAGAAATCTCATTTTATGAAGTATTTCGAATTCACTATTTTAAAATAAGCTTTTTGGTTGCTAGTTGATAAAAATTTGCAGCTAATAACTTAGGTAATTTTTGGCCCTTTTGATTTTAAAGTCCCTTTTTTTTCCTTAATGAATGTACAAATGTGCTTTACTTATGGATTGTGATAAGAGTTGTTGAGCCCCTAATAAAACGATTTTTTAAAAAGGTTACTTCCATGGTAACGGATGCCAAACTTTTCATGTTTCATTTGCTGGAACATACGTTCTCTTACTAAAAAGAAGGAATGGGTTTTGCGTGTGTTTGTATATATAATAAAATAAAAAGCACTCCCAAAAAAAAACAACTCAAAAGAGATCTGGTCTCTTGTATGCAAGACAGAGTGATCCTGCCTTTCACATTTTATGATGCATGACATTTAACCACTGTTGCAGGCAAAGAAGAGTAAAACCAAAATGCCGTCTCTGGTAAAGAAGTGGCAGAGTATCCAGCGGGAGCTCGATGAAGAGGAGCATTCTAGTTCCAGTGAGGAGGACCGGGAGTCAAACACCCAGAAGCGAATTGAAGAGTGGAAGCAGCAGCAGTTGGTCAGGTAAACAAAAAGGGACTCCAGATATAGGGATAGTTTTGTTTGTTTTTTAATGAATTCAACCTAAGATAATTTCTGGTCCGTAGAAGTATTTGCTTCTCTGTAAACATGGACTAGCCATTTTTCAAACTCCATACATAAACAGAATTGTCGTACTTTTTCTCTCCCACAGATGGTTAACCTTAAGCAAAGGACTATCTAAGTATTTCCAAAGTGGGAGATACTATTTTTTTTTCCTTTGATGATCTTTTTTTTAAACCATTTTATTAGGGGCTCGTACAACTCTTATCACAATCCATCCATATATCAATTGTGTAAAGCACATTTGTACATTCATTGCCCGGGGGATACTATACCACTTGGTGGTGGGGTGGGAGGGTTGCTGGAGCAATCCAGGCAGGCTGCAGAAGTAGGTGCTTACACGTTATCCTGGGTTATGAGCTATAGTACAAAAGTTTCTCATTCCCAGGGGGATGCTAAATTTTGGTTTTGTTTGTCCCTGGAAACAGAAAATAAGGCCAAATAAGTTTAGGAACCTATGGTCTAAATTCTCTGTATACTGGGGAGAAAAATCTCACCATCTTCTGCCTTACACATCCAATAGAGCCTGGGTTTTGCTTTGTAAAACAATTTCATTTTACAAATAATTTACTGATGGATAAAGGGTCAGGGAAAAACTGAAAATTATAATTCATCCACAGGTAGCCCAAAGTCGTGTTGCATGGTTTTCCTCGAAGTTTTGAGAGAGCACGCGCACACGCACACGCACACACAAATCATGCTGCTGTATTTATTTTATGGTTGGCATGGTTCTAAGGGTCCTTTTACTTATTGCTGTTTAAGTATATTTTCGTTGATAAAACTATGACTGAGGAAAAGTTTACATGTTTTATTCTTTCATTGTGGCTTCAGTGGTCACTAAAGATACATATACGAGTAGGCTTCAAACAGTTTGTGGAAAAGTTTCATTATCCTTTAATCCATTTTTCCATGAACTGTATGACATTTCCTTATATATAAACAAATGGGCACGTCTGTATAAGTCAAACTATAGAGTAGGGAGCATGGGTAGTTTGATCAGTCCACTGGAATTAAATTCCTCAAGTGTGGTTGTGTTCCATTACGAGAAATGGATATTTTTATGATCAGATTTTCAAGTCAGGGTTCTTATGGGCTGGGAAATGAATGGTTTTGTTTTTAGTGACTTAACCTGTGGGGGCTGGGTTTTGTCTTTTTTCCATAGTGGCATGGCAGAGAGAAATGCTAATTTTGAAGCCCTTCCTGAGGATTGGCGAGCACGACTAAAAAGAAGGAAAACAGCACCAAACACATAGTAGTTTTGTTAAGAACTTTTATTTTTAGTATTTGTTTTGTTTTCTGTTATGTTCAGTCTTCCAATTGTACTATTGTCAAATTGTAAATGTCACTGGGGAAACAATGCGTTTTCTGGGCAAGAGCATACATGGATACACGTATGTACCAAGTTTTCACCTTTGTGGAATGAAATTCTTCTGTTTTGCTGAGGGGCGAGGTTGCTTTGACCTGTGTTCTCGCCCTTGGAAGCCCAGCGAGTTCGGGACATTCACCACATCATGTTTAAACATAGAGCCACGGCATGCCCGGCTCTGTGAGGGACTCGGACGAAAAGTGAAGGCTTGTCCTGCCTAATAGGGGCTCCTTTCCTTCTTGGTGTGGCTCCTACACCAGCTCTGGCTCCAGAACAAGTGCAATTAAGAAGGCAGCTCTGTAATCCACCTAGTAAAACTAGGGCCCGTGGATCTTCTCTGACCTCCCTCCTATAGTCTTTCACCCCTCACAGTGCTGACAAATGGCCACATATACTTGTTGTTTCCCCACAGAGTCCAAAACTGATAGCTTGGGTATTTCACACAATAAACAGGTGGCATATTTCAGTTTTATTGCAGGCAACAATAGTTGATGGTTCATGCACTTGATGTTGAGAATTTCCCCCTCGAGTATATGGCGGTACATGTAATGAGAGCCACTCTATGTATCGGATGGCCATTGTCTTACCTATTCCAAAGTCCACCTCCCTTCTATGTGTGACCGTACTCCATAAATTTCCAGTATTTAAAAAAGCCGTTTCCTCTTCAGAACTTTCTATTGTATCTCAATCAGGTAAAAGTCACTTTAAACTGAAGAAAAGGCAAATTGTGTTTTAAAACTCTTTGTACTTCTCCAGTTTGGGGCCTTGTAAATTTGTATATATGGACTAATAAAGCTTTTTTATATACTTCTGATTAGTTATTCACTGTTCTTTGGAGCCGGTTAGCTGTTTATTAGATAGAACACCAACTATTTGTCCTTGTTTTTGTAATCCAATGCTGTGCGTAGCATGTGCAAACACTGAAGAGCTGCTTTCTGAAAAAAGAAGAGCAACAGGTTGGTTGAGAGTGGACTTTTCAAACCATGTGATGTTTTTGACATAAATTTGGGGGCCTGTTAGTTTATCTGCAACATTCTCCTAACATTTGATCTACTCGACTCACACAACCATCAGGTCAGTTCACAGCCATGGTGACCCTAGAGGACAGAGTAGAACTATCTCTGTATGTTCCCAAGACTAAATTTTTTTGTTGTTGTTGCTGTTATTGTTCTTTCCCTCTTCTCTCTTTTTTTAATCATTTTATTAGGGGCTCGTACAATTCTTATCACAATCC